AAAATATTTTTTTAATTAATAAAATTAATAAAATTAATTTTATAATATTTTATTAATTTTATTAATTGATTATTAATTAATAAAAATTTATTTTTAATTAATGAAATTAATTATCAATATATAATAAGAATTATTTTTTTAATTTTAATAAATAATAAATTAAAAATATTATAATATAAATTAATAAATTAAATCATTCAAATTTAATAAGATAAAAGTTAAAAATAAGTTTTTACTTTTAAAAACCCAACTAAATGTTTAACGCCTCTTTTGTTTTACAGGTTTGTAAGTGACTCGGTTGGATTAATTTTAGGCAGTAGCTTTCAAATCGTAGGTGTGAACGGAATCCCTCGTAAGGACAATTTTCCGTACAGAATGATTTTAACCTAACAATTCCTCCATAAAATATAAAACAAATTTTTTTTTTTCACTTTTTTTAATCCTGGCTGCCTAACATGCGTTTGGACACACCAAGTCTCTCCCATCAATTATTGATAATTAGTAATTAATCAGAAAATAAAAACACTAAATCAAGTATTAGGAGTAATCAATTAACCAAACTGCATATTTTCTTTTAACAGTCTTGCATCAATATGTCTTCAGCATATACTATATTCTTTTCCTTCTTTTTGCTATAGACTTCCAAGCAAATCTCTTCCCCAAACTATCGAAACAAAGATGGGTGCGAGTATCCTTGCCTCTCTCGTAGATGCAGCTCTGTCGAAGGTGATGGCTGTTGTTTCTGATCAGTTCACCTCTCTCAAAGATGCAGCTGTGTCGAAGGTGACTGCTGTTGCTTCTGATCAGTTCAATTTAGCACGGGGATGGAACAATGATCTGACGGAGTTTCGTGATACAATGAAGACGCTCCGAGGTTTCTTGCAAGATGCTAATGAAAAGAACGTCAGTGGCCACCTTGCTCTGAAGAAGTGGCTCCAGGATCTTCGAGATGTTGCAGATGAGGCTGATGATATACTGGAGGAGGTCGCTTATGAAGGTATGCAGCGGGAAGTTAACAAACCAAAGGTCAGGCGCTTAACTCTGCCTGACCCCTCGCCCTTGCCATTTCGCCAGGAAATGGCTAATAGAGTTAAGGGTTTGAATAAAAAACTTGCTGATATCAATTCCTCGGCTCATCAGTTGGGATTGCAATACAAACTTGCAAACGTGGTTCCTGAACCCAGAGGCAGGGCAGGCCGAGAGACCCACTCTTTTCTTTCATCTCAAGTTTTTGGAAGAGGGGAAGATGTCTCTAAAATAGTCAGCTTCTTGGTTGACTCAAGTAGTCAGCATGCCCTCCCTGTCATGATTATAGTGGGTATGGCAGGCCTTGGCAAAACCACTATAGCAAAAGCAGTGCTTAAAAATGATAAAATACGAGAGCATTTTGGTGATAATAAAATGTGGGTTTGTGTGTCTGAAAATTTTGATGTCAAAATGATTTTAATGGAGATGTTGAAGTCTTGTGGTGGAAGTAGTAGTGGTGATGGTGATTTTAGAAGCAAAGATATAGTGATGAAGAAAATACAAGAGAAGTTGGGGGGGGAAAATTATCTTCTCATACTAGATGATGTCTGGAATGAGGAGAGACTGAAGTGGGAGGATTTAAGGGATTGCTTGTTGGGAATAAGTGGAAGTAAGGGGAGTAGAGGTAAGGTGCTTGTGACAACCCGGCTTGAAGATGTTGCATCAGTAATGGCACTTACTGATGAACACATCCAGCGTCCTCGGCAATTAAATGAAGATGAGTGCTGGAGTATAATCAAGCAGAGAGCATTTGGAGACAATTCAGTAACTGAGGGGTTAGAGGGAATTGGAAAACAGATTGCTAAAAGGTGTAAAGGCATTCCACTAGTTGCAAGTATTGTAGGGGCTTTTTTGCAGAAAAAGAGGGACAAAAGGGAGTGGCAGGCAATTACAGAGAATTGTGTTTGGGATTCACTGGAAAAGCAGGAGGGGATCTTGGATATTGTAAAATTCAGCTATGATCGCTTGCCCACACTGGCTTTGAGGCAATGTTTTGCATTTTGTTCCATTTTTCCAAAGGATTTTGTCATGGAAAGGGAGATGCTAATTCAACTTTGGATGGCTCAAGGATTTCTTGAATCACCTGAAGAAATTAGTAATATGGCAGCGGAAGATATTGGTGACAAGTATTTCAGATATTTGTTATCATATTCCCTATTTCAAGATGAAAGGAGGGATGATGTAACTGGGAGTGTTATATCTTGTAAGATGCATGATTTGATTCATGATTTTGCTCAGTCAATTTCAAAATCTGAGACCCTAATTGTTGAGGGGCAGCCTGGGAGCAGTATTTCTCATGATGTTAGGCATTTGAATCTAATTGATGGGAGGGAAATGGTGCCATCTATTTCAGGAGATGTTGCTAAAAAGTTGCAGACATTGTTTTCCAAGCATAGTTTTTCTAATGGTGTGCAAGTGGATCTTATGAGGTTACGAGTTCTCAGCATTGCAGATGCTTGTCATGCAAAACAATTGCTGACGTGCTTTGGCAACTTGAAGAGGTTGAGGTACTTGGACATTTCAAGCACTCAGATAGAAGAACTGCCCAAATTCATCTCCGAGTTGTTCAATCTACAAACATTTAGATTCATGCATTGCAGATATCTTAAAATGCCTGAAGGAGGAATAGGAGATTTAATCAACTTGAAGCATATTTATTTCAGTGATGAAGAGCGTATGCCTGCAAACCTTGGGAGACTAACCAACCTACAAACATTGCCATTATTTTTTGTAGGTACAACAAAAGGACGTAAGATTGAAGAATTGGGAAGCTTAGGAGAACTCAAAGGAAGACTAGAGATCCATAAGCTTGTGCTAGTTGCAAGCAAATCGGAAGCAGAGGGAGCAAAGTTAAAAGACAAGGCAGTTGAGGATTTGGAATTTTGTTGGTCGAATGGCAAAGGCAATCAAGATAAAGATGAAGATGTCTTAGAAGGCCTCCAACCCCCCTCAAATATAAGAAGATTAAAGATTGCTTTCTATAGAGGTAGAAAGTTGGCATCATGGATGTTGTCACTCAACAATTTGGTGGATCTGACAATATCCCATTGCTATATGCTTCACAGAATTCCAGATATCAGTGGGCTTCTATCTCTTCAGCAGCTTCATGTTTACTGGTGTTTTGAAGTAACTAGTTGGGGTGATGGTGATGGAGCATTTACGTCTCTCAAACAATTATCCATATTCAGGTGTGATAAGTTAGAGAGAGTTTTGGTTAGTGGATTATCATCCCTGGAGGAACTCAGCATTCTAGCTTGTATTGTGGTAAATAGCATAGGAGATAGCCTATCAAGCTCCACGTGTCTCAAACGTTTGTATCTGGGAGGCTGCTCTAAATTGCAGTCTATTCCAAGTCTAGAAGGACTTGTCTCTCTCAAAACAGTATATATTTCCTATTGTAATGAATTAGAGCGTCTACCGAGTGGGCTCTCATCCTGCACTGGTCTGGAGAAATTGGAGATAAGGGGTTGCTCTAATTTGGTTTCTATTCCTGAAGAATTGAAACAGTTGCAGTCTCTTGTTGAGTTGGTTTTTGAATATTGTCCAAAATTGAAGTTTATTCGTCTAGAAGGACTTGTCTCTCTCAAAACACTAAATGTTACCAAGTGTGATGAATTAGAGCGTCTACCGAGTGG